AGAACGGTCCACCCAAGATAGTGAATATGAAAAACAACAGTGATTACGAAGACTTAGATTATAATATGAGCATAGAAAAATCATCATAAAGTTTTAATATCAATTAGTTGTGAGTCTGTGCATTATAATAACTCGTGTTACTGAGGATTTCCATGTAATATGTTTGCATATCAATTAGGAGTGAGTGGAGGTACCAATGCAATGTTTTGAACATCGGACTAAAAAGGTCATTTTATATTTATGTTTGCATCCAAAATCCAAAATGGCAGATAAAACAAGGTTAAGCAACCAACCCACATAAAACATTCCTTTAAATGGGAACAAAGGACATTCCATGCCAACACAGCTCATGTATCATTGGGTGCATAGGACCTCTATCTTCCTTCTCAAGTAGTTGTATAGGTGTTGTAGTTACATCGATGACAGTCACGCTCATAATGTTCACACAACACAAAAACCAGAGTTACATATATGCACTGTCATCATAAGGTTTTTTAAAAATCTGAAGGGAGTTTGCAAAGTCGGTTGTTTACATTTCTGACTTCACGATTTCATCGTACATATAACATTATAAATATTATCTTTTATATGTAGGTGTGTTCTGCTGCAGATTCTGTAGTAATGAGTTACCCTCACGTATACTGTCATAATCCTACAGAAGATTTGTAGAAGAGTATAGAATCAAATAGTACATCACAGCAAAAACGTCTTGGTCCAACAATTGTATTCTAGTAAGGTTCCGGGGATGATGAAAAATCAAGACTGCACACAAAAATCAAATAAATAGATAAATCTAGGAAATACAAATGATTGAATGTAGAGAGTACAAATACATGTAAAGAAGTGAAACTAACCTGAAATAGTGTTGGTGACTGGATGGACAAGAGTACACTAGAGAATGACAGAAGATTTGGAGATTATTTATACATGCCAACATCTAGTCATGGATTATTCTGTTGCTTAACAACCATGCATAATTCGATTAATTAGTATATAAATGTATACAGATCACATGTTAAATCTATTGAATGTTGTATACAGAGTTCAAAGAATAATGAATATAACAAGTAACATTGATTCAGAAAAAAAACTGTATACATATTAATGGTATGGTCTCCTCATTATCGTTATGTGATGTCATACCAGTATAAACATTTCAAATAGTCTTTGTAGCTAACCGAGCCACGAGATATCACAGAAGTATTGCTAATTGCTAATAATCACGACTAAATCAAGGAATTGCATTATTTGACTAAGTGTACAACCCCAACCTGGTCGGTAAGGCTGCTAAAACAAATGAACATGTAGACTGGGGGCCAATAACCGAAACCACCCCCCGCTTAGGGATTTCTGCACATCATGTTTTCTATCGAAATCTGCCTCTTTGCCATAATAATAATGGTGGGTGTGGGTGCCAAACTGTTTCCATGGCAATGTAATATCTCTAAAACTATCTCTAAAACTAAGCAGCATAAAAACACAAACTTAGTGTCTAGGTATATAGTTCTGATGACGATTGATTGCAAGCTGGATTTTAGTCTAAAATTTGAGATTTTGTACCAAAATTCATTTTTTTCTTGAGCTATTTCGTTATTGTTCAAGAAAATATAACAAATGCTTTATTTTTAAACATCATCATCATCATCATCAAATGTATCATCTTTCATGTTGTAGTCATCATCTTGCTCCAGCACCAAATCAACAAGTTCCTTCGGGAGCATTTTATCTTTTGTCCATTTGTACTGCAATTTGTCTCCTTGTAGTTGCCAACCACTACCATTTTCAGGCTTTGGCAAGTCTAGACATGGCACATAAGCTTGATTCCCGATGAGAGCCTGATATTGGACAGTAACTTGTTCTTTAGTGTGTAACGTGTCATAAACGTAGTGTATCAAAGCTTGTTGAGATCTTTTACACCTGGCTTTGCTCCATACACAAGGCATGTGAATGCCTCCAATTCATCAAATTCATATGTGGTAAGAGCTTGGCTCATACCTAAGCTTGTGAAGAGAGGAATAAATTGTGGGTTTCTGTGCAAGACCTGCAGGGGGTCCCGCCTTTACACACAAATGAAATGCGTGAAATGAAAGCAATGTATTGCATAGCTTATTGCCAATTGCCTGGACAGCTGAGCTGATGTCCACGATTAGTGGTAATCTGATATTCTGATATGACAGCAGTAGAGAATGGTTCTGGTGTCGGCTTCCTCCTGAAAAATAATATAAAGGTATTGTCTAGAATTAGTAACATATCAAATGTAAATTGTTAACATTGGTGTAGTAGTGGCCTACTATATGTGCTTTAATAATGTGTATTTTCTAATTCTGGGAATGTGAAAGTGTCGTGCCATGGCGTTCCCTCTGATACTCTGAGTCTGGTATGTATTTGTGATAAAGTCAACATGGGTAGTATTTGGTAGCTGTGCAAATATACGCCAAGCCAACTCGTTTGTGGGATTTGCGATTGGAACATTGCATTTCCATCAATAATATGAACCACAGAATCTGGCTTGCCACAGTATGTCCCTCTTCCAGCTTGTGCAGAAGTTTTGCCTTGTCAGTTTTGTATGGTGCACCATCAGCAGTGGCTAGACTCCAAGGCAGTGGGCCAAGTGGGTATGCCATCACCTTTTCCATGCATAGATCATGATTCATTGCAAGTAGTATGAGCTGCCCAAATACATTTCTCTCTGCTACCAGTTTCTTTGTCTTCTTTGTTGAACTTGTTACAGACTGTTTCACTGCCATTGGTGCAAACAACTTCAACTTCAGTCTCTTGATTGGTGCATTAAAAGTCTTCAGCTCTAGTCTCTTGTATGCGTTCGTGCCATGTGTGTCAACTGCAAGTAAATCGATGGATATTTTGTCTGAAACTAGTCTCCCTGATGATATGCAATACAGATTGTGCGCATCAGGTATCATGAAAAGATTAATAAAGTTTTGGAAGGCAGTGATCATCTTCTGCACAGCATATTCCCCTTTTACAATCTCTGATGAGGTAACATCTTTGTAGCTCATCTCATCATTTCCACTGCCAGCAGATTCAAGTGCCTGTGAATAGTCTACTTGTGCATGCCGAGTGAAACTCCATCTATGATAGGCTGCCAAGTATGTTCTATTGATATATCAACAACATTTAGAAAATTTGGAAGACTTGTTTCAAGCAAACATTATTTTTTCAAAAGTTCTTTTGTTTACACCATTACCCTGACCTTGAATGACCTAGGTGATGGTCATAATCAACTGGGCATCATCAAAACTATATACATAGACATTTATTTTGAGTATGTATGTTGTTTACTTACAGAGATATGTCATTTTCGTCATGTCCCTTATTTCATAAATACGTTGCTATGGCAACAGCCGTGGCTCTCACACCCACCACCAATTTTATGGTAAACAATCTGATTAAGATAGCTGAGGGTCTTGGCTAACTACAGATTATGGTCAATGAAAATTCCTAAGGGATGGCGGGTCTACAGTAGCCCAAAGACTAATGACTGCTTTGTTATTTGAAAAATAACTGATATAGAAGATTGAGCAACAAAACATGTTGAACCACCATTTAGTCTCCTCCCTCCTTTCGAAACACCTGATATTATTTCATTTATACCACGAGTCTATATATTTTATTCTTACTAATTTACATAGTTTGTAATGTCGATTGTTGTAACACATCTGTTTGTTGTTCTTGTAATTATCCTATATTAACATATATACGTTTAAGTAGTGTGTATTTGCACTTGTGATTTCAATTCGCTATACCCTTTGAAGGGATGAATCAGTGAAAATAAAATCCAATAAGAATACACTTTTTTCAATATTCTATACAAATCATTGAAAATTTAATTTCACGCAAAACAGACAAAAATTGTTTTTCACCAAAATTACAGTATGTTATTTCTATTGAGAAACTCGGAAACTGAGAATAACTACGTTAAACAAAGTATACATTGAACTATATAGGACTCGCTGACCCAGTGGAGTGAATGCCTATATTAAACTGAACACACAAACAATTTACATAACAGTACAAAATGATGGGACACACTGTCAATCAATGATTATACGGGCACTCGCTGCTTTGTGTTTTAATCAATATGATTCCTGAAATGAAGACACCGTCTGTGCGAACACCTCTGTGTATGCTGTGCGTATTTTCACTTTCCTTATATCTGTGTATGTTTCTTGGAAGTAACGACGACTACACCAACAGGTAAGAGTCTTGAATGTAAAAGACCTGTAAAAAATAATCTTTATATTATGATCAGTGAAAAACTGAACAAGACAAGTCCATAGCACAACCCAAAAAACAAATTACATTATTGACAGTTAGTTTTGATTCAAGGAGGATCACTTGCATTATTTAAATAAGGGCCTGCGAGGCACCAACTTGAAGTGAAAATCAAAGGAAGGCTAAATTCCCCCAAAACCCACCACTTGAGAGAGCCCACCTCTTAATGTTGTTTGAACATAGCTTTGGTTCCTGAAAATTATCATGTTCATTATTAACAGTTGTCACTCAGTGAGATCAACGTGATAACAAAAATGGACCGTGCTAGAATGTTTTTGTTGTGTTATTTCTAATATCGGTTTTACCCGACAGCGTAGCGGGTTCGTCTCTTATTGCCATAGAATTACCTTTTACAAGAATGAGCATGTTAGTATTAACTATTATATTTTAATCGTGGAAAATCTAGCACATATTGTGTTATGTTATTATAATATGTTTGTGTACAATAAATTGTGTTTCAATTTGTTAAGTAAATTGTGTCGCGAATTGAAAAAAGAATACAAGAACATTATTCACGTGGGATTTTCAATTCGAAACGTAAAGTTTGTGTATTGGCACAATCTCTAATAATATCTATACGCCTAGCCGGCTGGTGAGTTACATCTTAAATGTTCAGATTTTCATTAGAAGTCACAAAATATTCTAATTTTTGTTACAGACACGTGTTTTCTATCATATTTGGGCCTAACACAAAATCCTTACGGCCAATGATCAAAGCCTATAGGACTGGAATTGAGAGCAACATAAAGAAAGGAAATACTACCGAATTTAGGTCTAACACAAAATCTCTACAGCCACAGATCGACAAAAACAAGACTAAAATACATAGTAATACAAAGGAAACACATACTATCATATTAGGGTCGAACACAAAATCCTTACGTCCACTGATCAAAGATTTCAAGACTGGAATGCAGAACAACACAAATGAAACACATACTAAGAAAACTATGTGCACTCCGAAAAATAACATAGTGTTCTTGAAGACGAGAAAAGCAGGCGGAACAACTTTACAGAATATTTTCTGCCGGTATGGAGAAAGAAATAACCTGACATTTGTCTTGCCACACGAAGGATGGGTTTTTCGTTATCCAAAGGCATTTCAAAAGGAATTTGCCATAAGCCCACCACCAAGCGGCTATAATATATTCTGTCATGAAGCGGTATTCAATAATGACGTCATTACAGATATGATGCCCAATAACACAGTTTTCATCACTATTCTACGCGAACCAGTCGCCCATTATGAAAGTACGTTCACTTATTTTGGCACCAGAAACAAGTGTGGGATTCGCAGTATCAGCGCAAACTCACTTGATGAGTTCTTTAGTTCACCATCTGAATGTTACAAGAAAACACCAAAGAACCACCTGTTGCTGAATCTAGGGGCCACGTACATGTCGTTCGATGATGACAGGGCAATTGAGATGACTATTGCACATTTGGAAGACAAGTTTGATCTTGTAATGATTATGGAACACTTTGAGGAATCTCTTATTCTGTTGAAAGATCTTCTGTGTTGGACAACAAATGATATTACATATTTTGAGTTGAATCGTCGAGAGACTCAATCAGTTCACAAACTCTCAGACTCACTGACAAATAGAATTCGTGAATGGAATAAAGGGGACGTAGCGCTATACCAACACTTTAAACAGATATTTTGGAAAAAGGTGAGAAATTTCGGTGAAAAGAAAATGAAAACTGAGATAGAAAATTTAAGAGATAAAAACTTAGTGGTCAGACAACGTTGTTTACAAGAAGACGGTTCGGTTAATGGTGGCAAGTCTTTAAATGTCTATGAACCGCCCGGAATTAAAATGAATCAAATGCATTTACGACCAGAAGCAACTGATGACGCTGACTGTCAGCGTAGAATATATCCACCGAGAGTATATACACCTATACTAAGAAACGCGTTGTTAAATAAAAAAGCTTAGCAAGTAAAATTATAATAAAGTTCAATTTAGTGAGATGTAGTGCAGTGCAGTTTAGTGGGCACATTTCGAAGTTCATTACCAACATTTACATTTGTAGATTTGTAACTTGTGCCACCACCTTCGATTGTTTGAACAACTCATTCAAAAGACTAGTCACAGAGTTAGGGAATGTTTGTATCAGAATGGATTGCCAATGAATGCCCAAAGCAATAAAAGTCATTTGAAATTACATGTGCTTTTTGTGTTCCTAATTGTGAGTGACATGTTTGACAAAACCAGACATACAGATTTTCAGTGAACCAATTTTATATATACATATATATATAGTGTAAATATAAGAGTCGATTATATACAGAGCGGATAAATACGGTAATAGAGAAATTAATACACAACTACATGAATATTGAAACTCGACAGCACTGTTTCATAAGGTACAATTACCTCACTCATCAGGAGCTTTATGTAAATAAAATTCCACACAAAACAGACAAAATTGTTTTTCACCGAAAATTACAGTATGTTATTTCTATTGAGAAACCGCAAGTACAACGAACCCAACGTTAAACAAAGGATGCATTGAAAAATATTGGGTCGCTGACCCAGTGGAGTGAATGACTATATTAAACTGAACACACAAACAATTTACATAACAATAGAAAATGACGGGACATGTGACTACGACACACCATCAATCATTGATGATACGGACACTCGCTGCTATATATTGTATTCAATATGATTCCTGAAATGAAGACACCGTCTGTGCGAACACTTCTGTGTATGCTGTGCGTATTTTCACTTTCCTTATATCTGTGTATGTTTCTTGGAAGTAACAGCGACTACACCAACAGGTAAGAGTCTTAATTGTACAAGCCATGTAAAAAATAACCTTTATATTATGATTAGTGACAAACATAACAAGTCATGTTTTAAAGATTCCATAGCACAGCCCAAAAACAAATTACACTATTGACAGTTAGTTTTGATTTAAGGAGGATCACTTGTATTATTTAAATATGGGCCTGCGAGGCACCAACTTGAAGTGAAAATCAATGGAAAGGCAAATTTCCCTAAAACCCACCACTTGAGAGAACCCACCTCTTATTGTTGTTTGAACATAGCTTTGGTTCCTGAAAATTATCATGTTGATTATTAGTACTCGCTACTCTTCAATGAGTTCAACTGGTTAACCGAGATGGGTCGTGCTGGAATGTTTGTTGTGTTATTTCTAATATCGGTTTTACCCCGAGATCATAGCGGGTTCGTCTCTTATTGTCATAGTATTACCTATTACAAAAATGGACATGCCCCCATGTTAGTATTATCTATTATATTTTAATCGAGAAAAAAACCTACCACATATTGTGTTATGTTAATATAATATGTGTACAATACATTGTTTCAATTTGTTAAGTACCCTGTGGTCGTGAATTGAAAAAAGAATACAATCGATCAAGAAAATTATTTACGTGCGATTTTTTCAATTGGAAACATAACGTTCGTGAATAGCATAATTTTTAATAATATCAATATACCTAGCCGGCTGGTGAGTTGCATCTTAAATTTCAGATTTGCATTACAAGTCACAAAATATTCTTATTTTTTTTATTACAGACACGTGTTTTCTATCATATTTGGGTCGAACACAAAATCCTTACGGCCACTAATCAAAGACAACAAGACTCGAATTCAGGGCTATACAAAGGAAACACATACTATCATATTTGGGTCGAACACAAAATCCTTGCGGCCACAGTTCGAAGACAATCAGGTTGGAATTCAGAGCAACACAAAGAAGAGAAATACTACCAAATTTAGGTGGAACACAAAATCTCTACGGCTACTGATCGAAGACAACAAGACTAGAATTCAGAGCAATACAAAGGAAACACATACTAAGGAAACTACATGCACTCCAAAAAATAACATAGTGTTCTTGAATACAAGCAGGTGAAACAACTTTACGGAATATTTTCTGTCGGTAAGTCTTGCCACACAAGAGATGTTTTTTTTTACTATCCAATGGCATTTCAAAAGCAATTTGCCATAAGCCCTCCACCAGGCGACTATAATATATTCTGCCACGAGGCGGTATTCAATAATGACGTCATTACAGATAAGATGCCTAAGAACACACTTTATATCACCATTCTACGCGAACCAGTAGTACACCATTAATGTACGTTCACTTATTCTGACACCGGAAAAAAAAGTGTAGGATCACAAGTTACAGCGTAAACTCACTTGATGATTTTTTTAATTCACTATTGGAATGTTACAAAAGAAAAACCAGGAACAACCTGCTGCTGAATCTAGGGGGCCACTGACAAGTCATTCTGTGTTGGACAATCCGTTCACAAACTCTCAGACTCACTGAAAAATAAAATTCGTGAATGGAATAATGGGGACATAGCGCTATATTTAATACACTTTAATAAATCACTTTGGGGTAAAGTGCGAAATTTCGGTGAAAAGAAAATGAGAATTGAGATAGAGAATTTAAGAGATGAAAAACTTGTTTTCAGACAACTTTGTTCGCAAGAAGACGGTGTGGCTGGGTTAAAATGAATCAAATGCATTTACGACCAGAAGCAACGAAGGTCGCCGACTGTCAACGTAGAATATATCCACCGAGAGTATATACACCAATACTAAGAAACGCGTTCTTTAGGGAAAAAAAGCTTCGAGTTCAATGTAATAAAGTTTAATTTGGTGTGGTGTGGTGTAGTGTGGTGTAGTGTAGTGTAGTGTAGTGTAGTGTAGTGTAGTGTAGTGTAGTGTAGTGTAGTGTAGTGTAGTGTAGTGTCGTGT